CACCTGAGCATAGACTGGACAGTACAATAGCTATGTGCAACCACGCAAGACCTGGGATTTAATTTTTGTTCAGGAAATTACAGAGACTTCTTACCTAGAAACAAAAATTTTAATGATGTATGTCCCATGAAGGTATCCTTGAAGATAAAAAATTTTGAGGACAGAAAAGTTAGGAACTACCTTTCTTCACCAAATTTGCAAATGGGAACTTTTTCCCATTATGTGTCATATGCTCATTTTCTCCTCTCAGTTACATCTTCCCTCAACCCAAACAAAACTAGATTCTTTCTACAGAAGTCCCTCAAACACGCTATGTGTGCTATGTCTACATTGAGGGCTGGTATACTTGTAGAGAAGCCTGTGTTCATGCATGCCTTTCAACCTTTTATCTGTCAACATGAACTTTTTTGTCCTTACCAGTTTGGTTACAAACATCATATTTCACTATATAGGCATAGTTACATCAGTATAAGTACACAATTTATTCTAAATCAATTTATTCTTCAACAGGGTGTACTATAAGCTACTGTCTTCATAAGTATAAGTCTGCTACACTGCTAACATATTTTATAACAAGGCTTTCTATTTTGGTTTGGTTGATGTTAAGCTGTGTTAAGAGGTTAGTACTCCACTACCTAGCAGAGTATACAGTTGTAACAGGTTACAGGCAACTTTCAGTCAAATGGATGTAAATAAATTCAGCAAACAAGATACAAATGCTTTCTTGAAACCCCTTCCAGAAAAAAACTTCTCAGATAAAAGCAGAAGGCTAGATGACTATTCAGCTAGATGGTCTATCTATGGTCTGGTTAACCCTAAAAAGGGGAGGGAGGGCCTAGACCTGCTCCCTACTTGTGTGTGAGCTGGTTCAGTCTGCTCATCCAGGGAACTACTAATGCAGAGCTGGTGAATGGAAACTGCTTCCAGAAGAGTGTGATGTGTGCTGGAGATGGCACAGGCAAAATGGCAAGAACACATACCCCACCCCTCCAGGCAGCAGCCAGGGCTCTTTGCTCAAGAATGGAGCTAAAAAGCACCATAAAAGAATCCAGCTTCAATTGGAAAAAAAAAAAAAAAAAGTGTGCAAGCAGATGTCACAGTACAAGATGAACATCAATGTAGCTCATTTTAGGTGCTTCTCATTGGCCTTTCCACCTAGTTAAATTATCAGCTAGACAGTAGACTCCCAGGAACACAGATCATAAAGACAGGAATGATAACATGTATCAAAGACTTCGGGCATTAACAGTAATAACAAGAAACAGGAACACAACAATAAATATCAAATACTGTCACAGCTCTCTGTTTAACTAAATGCAAAACAAGTTATTTACATTATGTAATGGAGTCGTAAAGCACTTTCACTCTTGCTTGTGAATAAGAAATTGCAGTCTTGTATCTCTGCAGTTTGAAATGCCTCTCAATGCCTTTAGCGAGCTCACCAAAAAGGCTCACTATTGTATCACATGTTGAATCACGTGTTGGCCCTGGCATGGTGTGTAAATGAACTCACTGACCTCTTTGGGTTTTCCCCTTTATTTTCCCTGATCTTTAATGAGGATATCGAGCTCACAGGGAGCAGCAGGCAGGAGATTGTGCTGTACTTTCACAATGGGAAAGAAGCCAAAATACAGGCACAATGACTGGATTCAGTACTTTCAAGCAAACACAGCAGAACTGCATACATCCTCCTCCAGGAAAAACGTTTTCCACCACCACTTTACCAGGAAACCTCTCAAAACCAAGGCTGGGCTATCCCCTCATTCATTTTTCACACTTCGCTATTAAAGCTATTCTCCCACAAGAAAGGCTTTCCTGTTAGAGAAGCTTCCAAAATTGCTTAAGAGCTATTTGCTTTGGTTTGTTATGATGATTTCATGCTGTAATATTCTAAATATTATGTATGGTCTTAAATATTGGGCTCTTACACTGAACATTTTGGTAAAAATATGGTTAACTGTACATACTCAGAAAATATTAGAGGAAGAAAATGAAGGGAACATTAGTCAGTAAAACACAAACTTATATATTAAAATATCTCAAAGTTCACAGTATATTCATTTTCTGGGTTAAAATGGATCCCATTTGACACAGACTGTACATGCTTAATTACAATTTTCTTTATGTTCCATCTACCTTTTCCTTAATTAGTATCTCTTTAGCTGCTTATAACATGGACAAATTACTTGGTCTGAGCTGAAGTTCTCTTTCCTCTTAAATACAGAGCAAATTTCTCTGAGTAGTTGGTGGGAAATAAATTTAGATGTGTTCTATGTTCTCACATTCCACATGAACAAGTATATCCTAAGGACAAGTCTGCACATGCCTCTAGAGAGAGGAGCTGACTGCTCATAAAGGAGCAGCCAGAAGCATCTTTAGGTCTTTCTCAATGTGTTGCTGGTCCTGGGAACTACAGCAGCTTCTGACACAGCTCATCCAAACTCTTCAAGAAGAGCGGACTTTCTCCCTACCTTTCTGGCCTTCCCTCAAGCCCAGGCAAGCGATTTACTAACATAAATTTTACTTACTAATATTCCAGTGAAACTACGAATCACTGTTATTTTCATTTTTTTATATGCCAAATTAAGGCTCACAATTGATAGCTTGCTAGAGATTTTATGGGAAGCCTGTGGCATAAGCCAAAAGAAATCAAGAACATAAAGAGTATTTCAAAAACAAAGTCTGTTTTTCCTCATCTAGTAGTCTTTGATTATGATTCTCCCTTATACTACAAGACATTCAAGTGTGTGTCAAGAGTCAGCAGAGAAAGGGATGAGATTTTGACCACATGACTGGCATACAGCCAGCTGTATGACATGCACTACTACATAGTGGCAGAATTCGAGGTCACAGCATATGATCCTCCTCTGTCCCTGGACAAACTGTGAAACCAGGAGGGCTTTAGCAGAGTTGAGATTTCATGCACTTAAATATAGGATTGCCTAAAAAAACATTCTGCCTCTGTGCTGTCACAGTTAGGTATCCAGGCTGGCTGGCATCTTCCTTCTCAACTCCAAAATCAGGTTAACAGTATCTTAAAAATTTTTTCAAATACTTGCTAGGCCATGGAATTTTCCATTTGCAATGTTATATTTTTGAGAAATTTGAGGTTATTGCCCAAAATCTTTGCTCCAGGCCACTAACTCTTCGTTACCAGTTCAGAGAGTTTACAGGAAAGGTGTATCAATTCAGACAGCAATAATTTCCATGCAGGTTAAAACAAAACAAAACAAAATAAGCATGTTTAAGACCAAGGGGATATTCTTCCCTCATAGGAACTAGTGAGGAAGTATTTTCCTTGGCTGGAAAAGAATAAACTTGCATTTTCTTATTCTTTCTCAAAACAGGGAGACGGGAAAGAGGAGATAGAGGGCAGGGAGAGAATTAATCAAGATAATATTTGCTCGTGTTTATATTCTGAAACAAAGGGAAATAAAAATACACGAAGACATATTACATGATGAAGATAGGAAGTAACTTGCTACATAGCAGAATTATTGGAGTCACATCTCAGTTGTAAGAGACAGGGATACAAACACAGATTATTTCAAATGAGGTTACTAGTGTTTCACTGTTAGGGAAATACAGGATGCTAAGAAGGAAGTAAAAACTAATAACATTGTTTGTTTTGAAGATAATATATTTTGACAAGTCTGAGGAAGGGTTATCAAGAGGAAAGTTGTATATCCTGACAATAATGGACTCTATGAATACCTTACAGATGAGGAGATTCTAATCATGTTTGTTTTTATATAAGACAAAAACTAACTTGCTGCTCATAGTGCCGTAGTTTGAAGTTGCTTCTATAAAAACAAATATGACACAATGAAAAACTGCTAAAAGATTCACTGAGCTACGGAATGTCCTTCCTGCTCACCCTGGCTCACTTTTCACTTCGAAACGTAAAAGGAATGTCACGCATTTGTAAACTATGTCTGGGAGTAAAGCCTCAAGTATCATGAATAAAAACACTCAAGTTCTCTACTATACCAATAAAAATGCTACGTGACTTCTATTCAAGCACAAGCTCAGATGTTTCTAAATACAGATGGTATCCATCACATGAAGGAAGAACATCAGTTATTGCATTTGACATCTTTCTTGGGAACTGCACCCCTCCTCACTGAGCAGAACAAAGTCTCTGGCATACTAGAAGTTGTCAAGACTTTCTGTTTCTCTGTCCTCGATGCAATGTACATTCTCTAAGGAGAGAGGAAAACAAGAAAGGGAAAAATTTGTAAAGCAACCATCCATTCCGTATGCTACACCAATTGATTTCCAGCTCAGTTTTTATTACCTAATCTTACTGCAACCCTGTCTCCAGGCAATTACATATTGAAATACATATTCACAGCTCAGTTTTTCATTTGTATACAACAAATATTTGTAAAAACCCTGCTGTTCACAGGTTGGCCATTTGCTGCTTCTATTCAAAAGAGCAAGCTGTAACAGTGTGCTAAAAGTTGTCCAAACCTGACTGGGTCTGACTGATCTGTTGCTCTGGCCTGCTTATACTTCCCAGCTCTAACCTGGCCCTGTAGAGGAGCAATATAAAACTATACACGAGCCTGCTTACTTCTCCTGGAAGCAAACCTCAGCACTCGAGCTGTATGCTGGGGAGATCAACAGTCTGCAATTGCTGTGGTGTGTGCACTTTCTTCTATCTATGTGATAAGTCTATTCTATCACTTCACCAAAATTAAGCCTGAAGGAACCAGGAATTCTCAATTTACAGCAATGAGGTAAAGGATCACCATCTTACATTCCTTAGCTCACATATACAAGTTTTTTTAATGCGTCCATGTCATGGTCAACTTGGAACCTGTTCCTCTATATAAAGTTACAGTGTTTAAGACTAGTTTCCCTACTTATCATTCCAAGTATCTGTTTGCTGTACCATCAAGTATATGGTACGGTAAAAGTTGTCAAGAGATTTCCAGGGTAGCCATGGGAATGAAAACACCTATTCTCAAGTTAATACATACCAGCTACAAGGAAACAATATTAGCATTTTAGCACAGTTTTAAAGACTAGCAGAGAAAGGATGCAGTCGGACAAGGTCTAGAACTTTGACAGCTGCAACAGTGGCTACGCAGAGCAACACCCAGGTATTTAAAAGCCTAACATCCATCTTTTTTTTTCTTTCTTCTCCTTAGTGTTTAAAAGGCAGCTTATTGTCTGGGTTTTATCCGTTTACAAGTGTGCATCTGTGTATATGTATGACAACAGGAATTCTCAAAGCAAGCCAAACTGAGAAAGATGGATTGGTCTGATGTCTGGTCATTCATGGGTGTGTCCACACCAGTTCTGCAGTTCAGATCAGTGGTGTGCTTTTGTGGTAAATCTCTCCAGCTTTCCTGAGCTTTGGTTTGGATTGTAGAGCAGCTTTCTGAGCTCACACAATGGATTCTTTTCATACAAAACTAAACCTGAAGACGCGTTCTAACTACTAAAAGGCATTTAGTCCACCATGAGCAGACTACAGCCTGTCTTGAGTAAAAGCCCACAATGCACAGAGCAGGACCAAATCTCCCACACCAACTTTTACTCCACAAAGTGCTCCTACCACATCACATTACTTGCTAGTACAGACATCTTTGTGTCAAAACCATGTTCCTGTTCCTTGGAAAGTTTGTCTTCTATACACACAATTCCACCCGCATCCTTTGATAGCTTCTTTACTTCAGAAAGACATATTAGAGTGGAAGACCATGAAGGCAGAAAGACAGACAAATTTTCCCAGCTGTACAGTAGCACAGATGTTTTGAAACAGACAATGGAATCAATGCCACAAGAAGGAAATCACTAAACTATGCTGTTCACAGTATGCAGCAGTGCTCAGGCACAAGGATGATCAGAGTTTGGTGTGAATATTTATTAATAATGAAGCCCTTAGCCTACAACCAGCAATGCTGGCACAGGTCTTCTCGACAGCTGTATATATACTCATTTTTTTGACATATTGATTACTGGGGCCATATCACACATCCCAAAGCAGTGTGACATCACATTCAACTCCTTGCTACTTTGCAAGAGGCAAACCTTGATTTAGGTAAAGTTTTAAATGATAGTTTGACACAGCTTCTAATTTTGATCATACCATGGAATCATTACAGTAATCAAAAGAAAACACTGGAAAAAGATTAAAACTCAGAGACAAGACTTAAAAACCAGGAGAACTGAAAAGATGACTGAAGAGGCTTACCAGGAGTTGAGATGAGGTTGAGACACCTGGAGACCCTCATGAAATAATGGTAAGCTATTTTTTTCTTAACCACTTGTTCTTTCCTTCTATCCTCAGTCTCCCTGGATTATTTACTGGTTTAAACAAAATGTGACATTTCTATTCACTGTTTCAAACTGCTTATAAGTATCAGTCTACACCCATGAAATTTCATATATTCAGACACACACATACTTGTGTCTGGTCTGCATATTCTTTAAAATTTCTCACAAATGGTTCCTCTAGTCTTTACTAAAACAATTGATTGACTTAATGGCACTACTTAGGATACTCAAATTCTGATCACTGATTTTTAAAATGTCTTATTTTTTACCACCGTAATCTCATCTTTACATAGAAATCAATATATGATCCACCCTATCCAGTAAACAGTAAAGTAACATGCAGTGCAGTTCTTGAGCTGAGTTGTTCTGAACTCCAACACAGACTAATGGATAAACAGAGTAAAAGATAATTAATGAGAATGCTATCACACAAGTGATGATAATGAGTAGCTGACTACTCAAGGTTTATCATTAAACTGGCTTTCTTGCTCTTTTTGGGCACCCACTAAAATCACAAAGAATTGGGTTGTCATGATGACCCTAAGTGAAGTCACAGGAAGGGTGTAAGAAGAAATTGCTCAGGATCAAAAGTAAAAATTATTTAAGACAATCATACAATAACAAAAAGTAGTATTTCAACTGAAGCATAGACGTGAATTGCTGAGATTTCACACAGCTACCAAGACTGTAGTGCAACTAGCAGCAAAACATATCAAATAGTGGAGAGATCAGAAAGCTATGCAAGAACAGGTAGCATGAGGAGACCAAGTTATCTGAGAAGGCACAAGCTTACACTGCCACAAGCAGAAAGCTCTTTGCAGGGCATGTCTGTATTAAAGACAGGAACCAGACCGTTTAGTATGATATTACTAGAAAGGACTCCTGGATTCTACTAGGGCAGATTCAATTACAAAAAGCTGACTGTAAAATGAGATGTTCTTACTACATTGATACATGTTGTACCAAGATGTTCCCTGGAAAGCTGGACAACGTTCAGGCATAATTGACTTTTTTTAAAAGTTTGGGGACAGAATCTTCACAAAAAGGTACATTCTGTGCCTCATCCAAACTAGAAAAGGGACAAGCAGCTGAGGATTGTAGAATGGGTTATCTGAAGTCAGGCAATCTAGTTGAGGCATGTCTACCCAGGTCGGATGACACATCTATCTAAAAGGGGTCACAAGCAAGGCTGTTAGTTCATGGCTCTTATCCTGAATTTACTGACAGGTGGCTAGAAATAATGTGTGGCCTATATTATTTTCCCAATATAGTGGTGGGTGCCAGGACACAACTCTTTTAAGAGATTATGCAGCTGCTATAAAATCCTGGAGGGAACTGGCAGATATGGGTAGGAGAACAGCTTTCTCTTGAAGGTGGGTAGCTGGTGAGGTTAGAGTCATTACTAAAAGTGCATTGTATTGTGAAATTTTGTGATAGATGTGCAGCCTACTATTATATCTGCCCGCAAAAATCACCAGCAGCTCATGCGCCCTCATCGTATTTACATTAAAATGACTAAGACTGGGACTTTTTCACAGTGGTGAGCTAATAAATGAGTTCACTGCACATCGTGGAAACAGTCTTGTCCTATGTTCCTGTACTTCCTGCACAGAATTACCCTTTTCCTCTTTGTTGTCATTGGATGAGGACCCTGTTGGACATGTAACGTCACAGGGCAAAAACTGAGGAGAGCAGTTAAAAATGATTCACCTACAAAAGGGAAATGTACTTTCTCAGGGAAGTTGTGCACCAGATCTTCTTAAGCCAGATGCTGCAGGGTTGTTGCAAGATGTGTGGGTTTTTTTTTTTTTTTTTTTTTTTTGTATTTGCAAAATGTGCTAATTTATGCTACAGGTTAAAGAATTATTCGTTGTGGTTAGGAGCAGTCTGCAGATCATTCATAGAGTCATAGTTCTCTAGTAAGCTGTAAAAAAGGGCTGCAAACAGCTCTACAGGCAGAGGTACAGAGCCGTGAATGAAGAACAGTAAATTTTAGAAATTATAAGCAAGAGTAATAAAGTTTTTACAAACTTGTATCTCACTAGTGATACTCTCTGGGAGATCATCCCAAAGTGCTCACTGCTTGTTCAACAGAAAAACAATACATACGCCCAAGATGATGTTAAAAAAATGTACTGAATGGGGGGGAGGGGGAGAGGAAGAACTTTGCCCCTTTGCCTCTACAATCTGATCACTAAAATTGTATTTTGAGAGGTGGTACAGCTTGAAATGACTTCTCCCTCAATCTTATTTCTGACAGACATTAGCAGAAAGCAGTATAGGGCATTTTCTGTTCAGAAAGAAAAAAACCAAAAATACACAGAGAATTACTTGTGAAGTGACTGCTAAAACAAGAGAGGACAAAACCAAAGCATCAAGCTTTTACAACGATCTCCTAATACCAGCAATCAAATACCTGGCTACATTTCAGCTCCAACAATTGCAGCTGCAGTCCCACCTCAGTATAAGTGAGAAATACAAGCAAGTAAGTGCCAACTGGGTTTCAGTCTCAAATACTTCAGTATCTCCTGCCCTGAAGGACATTTTGAACTGCAGTGGTGGTAAAAGCCTTCCTGCATGAACTCCTTAAGGCTCCTTTACAACAACCCCTTTACTGAGGAAACAGAGAAGTGTCTGTATTTTAGCAAAACAACCTGTTTTCCAAGTTCTAAAAATAGAAAAGAAAAAAAATATTAAAACTGTCTGTCATTTTGAAAGCACTCACAAGCATTTCATCCTAAGCAACACAGCCTCCCCCCTTGCTAAAAATAAAACAGTACATTACAGCAACATTTTTTGCTGGCTTCAGCCAAGGACTTGAAAACCTCCCCTCAGCCCAGACAGGCCGTAAGCTGTGAGTCAGCACTTCTCAGCATTTCTGGAAATTCCTCAGCAGAGCATCCACCCTGTAGCAGGAAGCTGCCTGTTCACTTTAGCTGGTACCAGGAAACGGACGGGTGGTCATGGACCTCACCTGAGGTGGGGACACAGCTCAAGAAAATTTCACCAAAACTACCAAACGTTCCCCGTCCCACCAGCTTCCCACACCACCACCGAATACACTGCCTGGGAATAAATTCAGTACCTCCTCAGTTGGCACCCAACTACAACTATGTGCAGTTTCAAAGAACAGGAAATATAAGATTTAATTTTAAAAAAAAATTAACGTTGGACAAAGGCACTGACAAGTTTCTCTGGTGCAATTTTAATGGTATGGGCTCTCCCAGAATATAGAGGCAGCTCCACTCCAACAGCCACAGGCAGGATCTGTCTCCTGCCCAAAGAAGTCTGCATTAATTCAAAACAGCCATGCCCCTCCAGGTAAAGAGGGGGTTCTCCAGTGCTTACAGAGAAAGTGATTCCACTCTCAAGAGGATGAAGAAGTCATGGGTTGCTAATTGAAAGGACACATGAACACAGCTCCATCTCTCCCTCCAACAGTCCTTGCTTCCCACAGAAAAATCTTACAAGCCACATACAACACCGTGTCACGATGGGAGACAGATCCCGTGCCTGTCTGGGGGACACCCCAAATCTGCCTCTGCCTGTACAGGCTATGGTGGTGTTGAGTATCTCATCCCCACTGGGCACAAACCAGAATCACAGAATCATAGAATCAGCTGGGTTGGAAAGGACCTCTGAGATCATCAAATCCAACCCTTGAAGTCCCCACAGAAGCTCTTGGTGCTCAATAGTCTCAAATGTGTGCAACCACCAAGGTGGAGATACTGCTCTTGAAATGGAGATATAACATGCTCTCGGGTCCATGGAAGGATGTAAAGCAGTTATTTCACAAGTACTGCCTGTGGTGAACGCAATTCCTACATTACCCGCCTTGGACTGAGCATCCACTCTTGTTTTGCTTTAAACACATGCTCTGACAGGGACATTAAAGAGGGAGAGTTAAGGGAATAGGAAGTACTTGGTGAACATCAGTAATTGCATGTTCTGACCTCTCCAGCTTACATCATATGTGTTATCCAACAACCACAAATCAAGAAGGAAACCCAATTTAAGGACATTAATTTTCAGCACAACACGTATGTTAAAACTAACAGAACAAGACAAATGTTGACGTTTTCCCGCTTGTTTCTTGCTTTAATATATGTGGCTATTCTCCCAGAAAAATCTTGTCTTCTTTTTTTTTTTTTTTTAATGAACATTTGTATAAAGGAAGCTGCCTAAAGTTGGGTACAAAAAAATGTTTTTCTCGACTGTTTTTAAATACGGAGCAATGAGATTAAAGCGAGGCAGACAGCCAAATACCTCAGCCATCACAGTCATTAATAAACGCGTTTAACATTCGTGCAGCTTTCGAATGCAGAACATCTGGTTCTAATTCCCAATCTGGCTTTTAATAAAAGTGCCTCCCCCACAATACTTTTATTATAAAGTGTTCTTTTCCTCCGTAGGCTCTCCCCCCCCCCCCCCCCCTTTTTTTTTTTTCTTTTTGGAAGCGGCTGTTCCTTCCTTCTTGCTGGAAGCCACCTGACCACTGCCAGGAAGAGGAATGCAAAACATTCCCAGGAGCAGCTCCTGACGTCAGGGCGGCAGCATTCCTACTCCTCCTCCTCCCACCGCGGCCGAGCCCGGAAAGCCCAGGCCTGGTCCAGCCGCCTGCCCCGTGCCTGCTCTGGGGTTTTCTTGCTCCCCCCACGAACACGGAGATAGAATAAACCTGGGATGGGGCTACGGTGCCCTGGCCAGGTGCCCTGCCGTGGTTCATGCTGCTCCAGAGCCGCTCCACATACCCCTTCTCCCTGCCCTTTAACAGGAGTCTCTGCTTTGGATAAACTTCAGGCCCCCAGTAGGCTTGAAGCAGCTGAGACGCTGACTTTTACGATTCTTTCCTTTTACTTCTAATTTGTTCACTCGAAGGCAGGCGGCAGGAGGGTGCCAAGGAAAACAGGGACACGCTGCTGCAGGACAGTTGTTTTTTCACTCCTGAGACATTCACAAGAGACATGACATGATACCCAGGCAGGCAGCCTGCATCCAACACGGCTCTGGAACATGGATCTTCTCAGTTTCTCTTTTCATACAGGATCTATCTTCTAACACATAACAGAAGCATTTCAACTCTGCAACTCTCTAATTTCATTTATCAGAACACATTAACAATTACTGGCATTTTTTTATATTCTACTCTTGAACTACCTGTTAGCAAAACTTATACAAGAGATTCTTGGTGGAGTTGCAGTCCTCAAGTTTAGTTTACTCCTTTCAGTATGTTTAGCCCAGTTAGTCTGATACTTTTGGGACATACATTTTTAAAATTCTATAATATGTTCTGCCTGGAAAAAAAAAAGTATCTCTTTGTATTTTAGTAAATAACCCTATCAAAGACAGTGAAGAGTAAAAGAAATCCCAGTAGCTGTTATCAGATCCATGATAAAACTGAGTTTCCTGATGCCACCATGCCAAGGGAGCAGGATGGTCCCTTGGGAAGATAAAAAAAAAAGAGTATGGAAAACCCTTCATTTCTAGAGGATATGAATAAAGAGCACTGCATGAAACACTTTCCCGTTTCACATGTCTCTAATTATTTAACAAGAAGTATAAAATACATAATTTCATCACTCCAAAACCAACAAAACCCTGATGTGTGGATATTAGTTTAATCATAATTTTCTAAGGAATACAAAGGAAGCCAAAACTCATCCCGAGTAGCTAAGGCATATGACTGGTGGTAGTAAAGTATTCACATATATCAATTTCCCCGCAAATATTTACATAATAAACATAAATCTCCCAATGTTGACTGACCACACTGAAAAAATACAAGTCTGGAAACACTAAGCAAGACAGTTGCATCCCTTTCAATATTAATTGCAATTAATCAGCTGTTAGGGTTATACTGTCTGTCCAGCTGAAGTCCTAAGCATGAAGATTCAAATTACTACAAAACTCTCAGTTCCTCAGCTTCTCACTCCATTTGTGGCAAATTAAGAAATAAAACAAGTTTGGGTTTTCTCCTAATGTAGGGACTTGTTACCAAGAGGTCAAACAAGTGTCTGCCCTCTGGCCAACCTCATGCCATCTACCACTTTTTTAAGGAAACCTGCTCTCTGAAGAACCACAGGGTAAGTAAACACACTGCTTTCCTGGTGAGAAGCCTGCAAATGTTGGTTACACCAGCTGGCCACATCTGACCAGCTAAAACCCCAAATCACCTTTTTTGCTCTCTTCTTCAGAGGTCACTAATATTCAAGTGACGTATCATATAAACAAAGTGGTATAGTTGAGAAAGTGACAAGACTCATTAATTTTATTCCATAAAATTTGATGGGGCCCTGGAAAAACATTAGTCAACTTCCTGCAGCCGTTGCAGCCAGTGGCTACTAAAAAAACCAGCTGATTTGTACTTTTATATATACAGATACAAATTTAACTGAAGTTCACTGATGTCAGACAGCCATCAGTATACATGGCTATTAAAAATAATACCTTTTTTTCAAGTTTTGCAACAAAGTGAGAAAAAAGTACAAGACATTTCTATCACTGAAAAAAATTGAAGTAGAGAAGAAATGTAAAAAAAAATTATATTCCCTAAATAAAATATAAGTAGTGGCTCAGTAGAAGCCACTACTAAATATTTCCTAAGCTAAATAGCAAAGAAAGTGAAACGTCCTTAGTACCTTCTGAAATTAGGCACAAGCTAAGATGGCCCTGTAGCAACTGAAGAATACTATACACCTTTTGGTTCTAGACATTTTTTTCTCCATTTTCTATTTTATAGTACATGCAGAGAGAGATATACACAAGGTTTTTTCAGCTATATATTAGGTATTTAAAAATTCTCCTTTTTTCCCCCTTTGGATTTTTTCTCAGTAATTTTATCTTATCAAAATGTAAACACATGCAAATCATACTAGGTCATTTCTGAAAAGTAGACATTAGAATTTCTGAAGGATGAAAATTTAAAAATGTTTGACTATTTAATCCCTAGTACTGAAGTTTGGAGGGGGATTAGAACAGGCACAGCGTAGAGGTGATGAGAACTGGGGTGTGTTCTCAGCTTCCCTTCCTCTTGTGTTTTAGCTGCTTATTCATTCTATTATTCTTTTATCACCAGGAATAACATTGGGATGCCAAAAGCATAAATGAAATCACAGTGAGAACTTCCTTCTATGCATGGTACACAGAATTAATCTTCAGGTGTGTTTCAGGAGGCTGCCTCAAGAACCTATAACTCAGGAGCCTTGTCCCAAGCATGCACTGCCATTCAGTCATAGCCAACTTTCTCCTGGCAAAGTCTGGCGAGTGATTTGACCTCCATAGATGAAGTAGACACTAGCTTGGAAATTCAGTCTCTGAAGACTAAAAATTCTTTATTAAAAGATTCTTTTTCATCAAAAATGTACACAGAGTAACACAGTGATAGATATTTGCTGTGGCAGAACCACAGCAGTTTACATAAGTTCTAGAGGGAGAAGCATCTTTCTTTCCTTGAACTTACAGAAAAGGGATTAATTCATGAGTAGCAAGCTTTAGAAAACAATGGGTGCAGAGGAAAAGAGATCAGAAAATTGAGTTAATGACCAGAGAAAAACACATCAATTGTCTTTTCCTGGTTACTTTTTCTATACCTTTCTTGCTTAGACTGCCATTTGAGTGGATAATTTTTTCATCAAGACTAAAATGTCAATTGATATCAGCGTGCTCTGTGACACCTGAAATACTGTTAACTGCAAAGGATCAGATGCAGGGAAAAAAACCTCCTTAATTTCATAGCTCACTTTTACATCTGGTAAGTG